CATAGTTACTTACATTGGTCTGTGTAATTTGGTTAAAACTGCCTTATAATGACAGGAGGGAGTAATTATTTTCTTTTAATTGTATGTTATTGTAGGGTGTCATGAAGACAATAAATGTGAACAAGCTTACATCTGCTGGTTGCCGCGTCAAAATATGGATTGCTGATTGGTTTGCAAAGCTCAACAATAAGATGGGAGGAGATTTGAAGAAAATTGAGACCGTTGGCCGTTACTTGATTGAGATTTGGAAAGCTGTTGGGATGGATCTTGAGGGAGGGAAGGTTGAGTTTTTGTGGTCTTCAAAAGAGATTAACGCGAGAGCTGATGAGTACTGGCCTCTTGTGTTGGATATAGCTCAGAAGAACAATCTTAAAAGGATTGTCAGGTTCCTCTTTTTTTCCCTAAATAAATGCCTTTGTGTATGTTGTTGTAAATGGTGGATTTCGACTTAAAACATTGTTCCATGTTTTGTTTTTCTGAACTATAGGTGTAGCCAAATTATGGGACGAAGTGAACAAGATGAATTGACTGCTGCTCAGATATTCTATCCATGCATGCAGTGTGCAGACATATTTTTCCTCAAGGTGTGTTTCAGTTTTTCCCCTATATATTAGAGCTTGCCTCAATTATTTTATGTATTGTATACATTATTAATTTGCCATTTGTACTTCTAAAGTCACAACGGATGTTGTTAGCTTACTGTAGAGAACTGTCCAAAGATAAATTAATGCATGACTGTTGCAATGTTAGCATTAAAAAGGGAAATTATAGTAGATGTTCACAGCCCTGAATATGTTAATTACATCTACCAAATACCAGTAATAGGTGATTTCTTCTCCTAACTTCAATTATGCCTTTCATGGGTTTTTCCATCCTTTTGTTTGTTTTCAATATCTAAGCTAGCTGTATTATTTATTTTCAATCTTTCAGTATTCAAATATTGTGCCGTTTCTTGGGTCCTAACATCTGAAACTAGTTGTGAATTTGCTACAAACATATTAGTGAATAATGCATTAATGTTGTTATTGCAAAATAGGCTGACATCTGCCAATTGGGAATGGATCAGCGGAAAGTTAATGTACTTGCAAGAGAGTATTGTGATGACATTAAGAGGAAGAACAAGCCCATTATCTTGTCACACCGTATTCTTCGAATTTCCTTTTGAATAGTGTATATTTGAACTTTGAGGCATTGTATCTCTTACTAACTGGTTAAGGGGTGATTTGCAGACATGTTACCTGGTTTGCTGCAAGGGCAAGAAAAGATGTCAAAAAGTGACCTATCGTCGTCCATTTTCATGGAAGATGAGGAGGTAAGTTACTAACAGGGCTATCAAATTTGTGTCATTATTTCAAAGGCTAGAATCAATTGTCATATCTATTTGCATTCTGTTTTAAATTTAAATTACAAGGACAGCCAAGAATTTTTTCATTTTGTGAAATTTCAGTTTCAAAAAATATAAAAAGGGAATAAAACATTTAGTACCAAGGAATATATACTTGTGCTTTTTGTATCAAATTATAGCTATTTGTTCTTTAATGATAAATATATTTTCAGTGTTTCCTTTTATTTGTATTTTCATTTACTTATTTTTAATAAAATTTACTGTCTTTGTTTAACTTTATATTTGGATATAGGCTGAAGTGAATGTGAAAATAAAAAAAGCATATTGCCCGCCAAAGGTTGTGGAAGGAAACCCATGCTTGGAGTACATTAAATATCTTGTCTTACCCTGGTTTAATGAGTTCACAGTGGAGCGTAGTGCAGATAATGGTGGGAATAAGTAAGTTTTGCTGGTTCCCCCGTCTGAACTTCACATTCCTTTAAAGTAGTAATTTATTGGGTCATTGTGTTTACCTTTAGTCTGTATTACAATTATTTATCTTTTCTTATGCATACTTGTTTGGTTGATATATGTTCATGCTTCCATTCCATCCAGGACATTCAAAAGCTATGAAGAGCTGATTGCAGACTATGAAAGTGGAGAATTACATCCTGCTGATCTTAAACCAGCATTGTCAAAGTCATTGAATAAAATTCTGGAGGTGATGTTTCCTGATTGTGTTCATGTGTTTCATTTTTCTTCCGAGTTTTAAAAGCACAATTTCAATCATGTTTACTATGTTGAAGTGTACCTACTCTGCATTGAAACAGTGCTTTAGAAGGGTCTGGTACTTATATACTGCAAGCCTATTGCTTTTCATATTCCTATAATCATATAGATTAGTGTGCTTGTTGGGTTTGAAGTTTTAATATGGTTGCAATCTGCAATTATTAAAGTGGTGGTTAAAATATTTCAAATAGTTTAATCCATCAGCATTACCAAGTAAAGCATGACTGGTATATCTGCTTTAGTGTACTGTTCACTTAATCCTTCTGCACTCTTGTGTACGCGCCATAATGCTTTTATTGGAGGCTCAAGTGGCTTCTTACATTTGGTTCAATTACCTGTTGAGGTATATTCATGTTTCGATTAAGTTTTATGGAACCAGGGATAGGAATCGAGAATTAGACATTAGAGTCGCTACCCTCATATTTAGGGTGTTCTTAATAATATATCGTACTGGTTCTGATAGCATCACTAGTTATTGTGAGCTTGTACAAAGAAGTAGTGATATTATAACATAAATTTATGTGAACTCTTGGTATGTGGCACAAGCTTAATGATTTTTTCTTGGACTATGCAGCCTGTAAGGGAACACTTTAAGAAGGACAGCAATGCTAAAGAGCTGCTGAAAAGGGTCAAGGTGAGCCTTGTTTTGAATTAGTAAAATATTACATCAATCATTTGGGTGTTTTACGCACTAAATTTGCTTTTGGTTCGCAGGCTTACAGAGTCACCAAGTAATATGCTGATTAAAGTCTTAAGGCTAATTCTATTCTTTGTCAAAACAGCCATATGATTTTCACGTTACGAAACGCACTTTTGGACTTGTAAAATGTGGCGGAGGTTCTGTTTAGAATGAGAAATAGGATTTTTGTTCCTGTATTTTATTTACTTGAAATATAGATGTTTTGATTTAATATTTATATTTTACTTGTGTAAGAGATTGCATAAATTATTTATTATTATTCACAATACAAATAAAACCGATATTCCTAAAGAACTAAAGGTAACAAATATTTGAATATTATGCGAGTTAATCCTATAATATGCCCAAAAGTCGTAAAGAGTGAGTGATAGCAAATAGCAATTGATATATTAAAGTTTCAAAATTTTAAGTAAAATATTTACTTTTAAAAGTGCAACTAGGATTTTGTCATTAACATATGGTTTGGGGGTGAAATAGGAAGGAGGGGAATGGAGGAGAGGGAAGTAGTGACTAGTGAGGAAGGAAACATCATTCAAGTTCTGATTGCTAGGGAAAAATCCTTTTATCGTTTGTTATTGTTAAAATAAAGGCTAGAGATTGCATTATCTGATTAAAAGTAATATTCCCCTTTTCTACTTATGGAGTAGGGAAAACCGTGCCTAGCATTGAAAGCGAAACACCTGATCACCATCGCAGAGAATTTCCGCATTAGAAACGGTGTCTTCTGAATTTTCGAACTTTGGATTTAAATAGATTTTATAATGCTTATTTATAAATTATAATGATATTATTTTAACAAATTATTCATAACTAATGGAAAGTCTTAAAAATATAAAAATTTATACAACTTTTAAATAAGAGATATATAAAAAATTTTAACGGTTACAGATGACTTTAAATGTTTTTAGTTTCTTAATTTGAGAATAAGTTTTTTCCTTAAATTTTAAAAATGTTTTTAGTCCTTATAATTTTAAAATAAATGTTTTAGTTCTACCTAAATATTGTTAGTGAGATTACTGCATATAATTCACCTAGGCCATCTCAAATGGAAATTTGTTTTTTAGGTGCTAAAATAGCTCTTATTTATATATATATCATTCATCTTTATTCTTTTTAATTTAAGCACTTTTATAAGTATATTTCTCTCGAATTTATCACTTTTCTTTCAGTTATTAAATGAGTCTTACAAAAAATCTCACATTTTTATATATTAATAATTTATTTATTAACTTAATTTTTTGTTAAGTTAAAATAATAATAAAAATTGCAATGTTAAGAAATGTAACGTTCAAATTTATTGTATAATGGTATTTTTCACTTAAAATTTAATATACTATAATGGTTAGGATACTATAATTTAATATAATGTATAAAGGTTAGTATTTTAACGGTGAGTACAATATTAAAATTTAATATATTATAATTTATTTTACATTATAAATATAATTTTTAATTAAAAAACATAAGTCGGTGATTAATAAAAATTGGACACAATAGGAGATTTTACTGTGATAGGATCTTGGGAGGAACATTCCGTGATTAGCATGTGTTGAATGTGCCCTCAGTAGTGTTCTTATTAATGAAAATCACATCAATCTAATTGTTACATAGTTGACTCGATCTATTCTTGTCAGTAAGTGATCTCGGGTCAAAACAAATCTTTTATAAAATTACATGATTAAAAATATAGTTTTAAATTTAGGGGAAAAAACCTTGCCTCAAATGTGAGAATTTAAAACATTTAAACTTCATAGATTTTTTTAAAGAATTTAATGAAATCACATATAAAAATAATTATGCTACAATGTCCTCAACTGCATCTGCAATAGTAATTTAAAACCTTGATGTAGACTATCAGAATTCCGTTAAAGACAAAATTTACCGGAAAATAATAGGTTGGTGATCAAAATGTCATGTACGAGGATAAACCATCAATGTGATTCTTGAAGTTTTACTCTCCTAAATAAAAAATAATAAAATTATATAAGTAATTTGTAAAGTATTGAAAATCCATTAATTTAGTTCTCAAGTTGATATATTTTACTATAAGTAGTTTGAAGGATTTTTCAATACTTCAGAGACGGTAAAATGAGTAATGATTTAGGTGTATGCAACGAAATTCTCCGTAAAAATCGTAATGCCTTCAACCTAATCGCAAGTACAGCGGCGAGATAGCATGTGTGTAGCTTGAAATTAGATCCCCGTGTGTTTATTCAGTAGAACATTCTACTTGTTAAACACTACTATAATATTAAAATGCTCAGCAATATCCTTTGGTTGGACTAGTTTTAAAAGAAAAAAGGGCAAGATACAATACAACTGTATGTTTTATTGGGTTTGGTTGTATTAGCCCAAAATTTGTCTGGAGAATGGGATAAAATAAAGGACACTGCCATGACATCTGGGATATGTATTTCTCCGGAACTGGTGTTAGCTCATTGCTTTTCGGATCCTTTTGTTTTCAGAATAATTTGATAATGACATGAAGCATCAGAGAGATAAATAACCCCCAATTTATTAGGCCGGAACACTGTCAAGAATAGGGAGTTTTGGGTTAGAACCTAGCTTCTTTTTTCCTGCCACAGTTCAGCGAAATAGCATCTGCAATTTGAGAGGATTGAAGTTAGAAACATAGTGTTTGAAAGATCTCCGGTATACCAATGATCTGTTTATCACCTCAAGATAACATATAATGATATAATAGCATGTTTGGAAATCCGTTTCTTTAACTGAAAACATGAAGTTACTCTTCCCAAAACACTAAAATATAAAACAAGTATTTCTATATTTTCTGTTCAACATCTTTTGACAAATTTTCAACAACAAAACAAACACACACTAACTAGTCAAACAAATTAGCATACAAGCCTTGCTAGCAGCTTTATCAACCATTCAAAGTTTACGCGTCATGGCACCATTATTTATATATGAATAGACATTGATTTTATATATGTAAACTTGGAAGACTAATTATACTGATAGAGTGGATTTATGGGATTGACAGTAAATTGTTTTATAGGTTAAGATTAATACGTCATCAATATCATGAAATGATTAGACAATAACAATGTCGAGGCAATTTATATCATTTGTATGCAAGCTGTTGAGACTCCACGGATAAAAAAGGACTAGAGATAATAAACATGCAAGCATATAAATAATGCATGGTTATAATATTTTGTTATCTAAATATATATATTTTTTTAATATAATGGGTACCAACACAGTTAAGTACATAAAATAAATTAACTCCGTGAATTCCAAAAAAAAAAAAAATGAATAGTAAGATGTCAATATTTTTCAAAATTGATAAACCAATGAAATTTTAAAAAGATTCTGAATTACATCATAATCAATATGTATGCACAAGCTCAAGATTTAAGCAGACATTTCAGTTAATCAGAGTACTTAATAATGAAGTGACTAAACTATTGTAGTTTACAAACCTTGAATAAACAAATTACATATTGACAGCAGTATCTAAGTCTTACATAGTTATCAAGCGACTGCAGAGGGTATAAGAATAGGTGGTAACACCGAGGCACCGACCAAGTTATGCCCTACCACTTTCCCTCGTAGTCAGTGTGCCGTCATTGCCATCACAATTCAAGAACAGAAGCAACATAACTAGTTTCATAACCATTAAAAGCAGGTGAAAGTACAAGTAACAAAAAAAACCAACTACTTACCAAGAAAATGAGAGAATAAGTAGTTGCGGCCAGTAAGTGATCAACAACGACCAGACAACCGTAGCAACAGGCACAATCATGAATAACTCAAATGTCTCACTTTAATCACAAACATGGCAACTGGGAAGCTTGTTAGCTGATGAATGGGTGTCAAAAGCCCCAGACATTAGACCCTGATTGGTATTGGCTATTGAACAGGAACAGAAGTGTATCAAGGAAATTGGAGCCAAAATCTGTCTTGAACTCTGCTTACCAAACATTATTGAAGCAAAGACATTTCCCTCCATTATAATTAAAATAATGGCAACAAGTAGGCACTTCCCCCTCTGTAAAGGAAATACCTTTCACATTTTATAGGATCTTCCATACCTAAAGCAACGATGACTCTCAATTTAGAGAGGCTTTTAATGTTTGTGGCAAATGTTGTTAAGTTGACATTGCAATCAAAATGAACATGTTAAATTCACGTATCTCTGACCTCAACTAGACTATGAGCAGGTAGTTTTCTTAACCCCACCTCATTTACCATACCTCTAACCTTCTCTGCGTCTCTCCACCTTCCTACAGTAGCATAAAGTTTTGCCAACAAAACATAATTTCCGGTATTTTCAGGCTCAAGCTCAAAAGTCCACCTAGCAGCCACCTCTCCCAGTTCAACATTCTCATGAATTACACAAGCGCCAAGTAGTGCACCCCATACAGCATGGTTAGGTGTTATAGGCATTGTTCTGATAAGATTATAAGCATCATTCAGTCGACCAGCACGTCCAAGAAGATCAATAATGCAAGTATAATGATCAACATGGGGAATACTTTGATGTTGCTCAAGCATAAACTTGAACAAAGACAAACCCTCATCTACCAAACCTGCATGGCTGCAAGCATGAAGAACAGAGGTGAAGGTGACTTGATTTGGTTTTACTCCAGATTGTACCATCTGATTGAAAAGTTTCACAGCCATTTTTCCATGCCCATGCTTTCCATAAGCAGCAATTATTGCACTCCAAATAATAATATCCTTGTCCTTTAGAGGAATTATGTTAAAAATCTGGTGAGCATATCGTAAACTTCCACACTTTGAGTATATATCAACTAGAATACTTGCTACTTCAATTCTGTAAAGAAATCCTGATTTTATAAGGTGACAATGTATGTTTATTGCCTGTAGGAGATCAGCAAGAATAGCATATGCAGGAAGAAGACTATTAAAGGTGGCATTGTCAGGTTGTACGTCTTTCACTAACATTTGTTTAAAGAGTTCTATTGCTTCTCTTGCAAGCCTATTTTGTATGAACCCAGATAGAATAGCATTCCATGGGGCTGTTCTCTTCTTGGATGTTCCCATAAATACCTTATAACTGAGGTTGCCACGATTGCATTTGGCATACATATCAATCAAGGCAGTTTCCACAACGACCTCAGACTCGAGCTTTTGCCTAATTGCCCACGCATGCAGGCACTTGCCGTGGCTCAAATAAAGCAAACTGCCACAGGCCGATAGTAAAGAAGCTATACTTACCGAATTTGGTTTCACTCCTTCACACTGCATCATCTGACAAAGCATCAAAGCACTTCTAGCATCCCCATTCAGAATGTATCCATTAATCAAAGTAGTCCAAGTCACCACATCTTTCTCATCCATCCTGTTCGCTAGCAACCATGCTTCTTTCATCTGACCACACTTAACATACATGTCCAGCAATGCATTCCTAACTACAATATTTCCCCAAAACCCTCTCTCCTGAACTAACGCTTGAACCTCTCTCCCAAACTCCACATTCTTCAAAAGCCCACAAGCAGGCAATACTGAAACCACAGTTGCACAATCAGGCTCCACACCCACATCCATCATTCTATCATAAACTCTCAGTGCTTCCTCAGCACAGTTATTCCGAAGGTACCCGTTAATCATGGTATTCCAAGAAATTACAGTGCGTTCCTGCATCAACTCAAAAACCAGTTGTGCTGCTTCTTTCTCCCCAGCATTCATGTACATTGCTAACAAAGTGTTTTGGACGAATATGTCGGAATCGAAACCAAACTTAAAGGTCTGCCCATGAATTCCAACGCCTGCATCAATCAAAGACAAGTCACCACAAGCCTTGATAACAACCGGGTAAGTGAATTTGTCCGGTATGGTCCCACCCGACTCGAGCATTTCAACAAACAAGTTGAGGGCATCAAGGGGGCGACCAATTTGGACATACATCCTCATCAGAGCGTTCCAAGAGAACAAACTTGGTTGAGGCAATTTATCAAACAGATGGGATGCATAGGAGGCGTGGTGGCATTGTGCGTATGTTGTGGCAAGCTTAGAGCAAATGTTGGAGGAGGAGAATAGACCTAGGGTGAGGATGAGAGCGTGCAACTTTTTGGTTTCAGAAAGGGATTGAGAAGCTGAAAATTTTCGCAATAGCGACTCACACTGTGCTGCAATAGTCACGAACATGCTTGTCTTCATTGGACCGATCGTTTATGCAAGTCAACACTCTTGAATTTATAGGTTTCGGCATACAGGGACCCCATTTAATTGTTTTGGTCCAAATGAAAAATCATAATTGGGGAAATAGGTTTTTAAGACACTAATTAGACATGTTGGGATAGATTAAATAAAGACGGATAAATGATCAATAAAATCGACAACTTGATACAATAAGAAAAGAGTTAAAAAAAAAAAAAGGATTTAATTTTTTTTTGTCTCTATAAAAAAAATAATTTTCATTTTATAATTTTCATTTTTATTTTTCATCCCTTAAAATTTAAATTATTATTTTTAGTTTCAATTATTACATAATCATTTTTAGTTACATATTTATTTATTAAAATGTTAAATGATTATTTTAAGTATTATCTATAACTATTAATGATATTATGTTTGTATATACCTTAAAGTTATTTTTAGGGATAAAAAATAATATTTTTATATTTTAAAATGATAAAATAAAATAAAAAATTTATAGAGATTAAAATTAAAATTTACTCACTTTACAAGAATAAAAAATAATATTTATAAAATTAAAGGATGAAAAAAAATTTGAAGAACCAAAATTTAAACTCACTTATTTTATGAGCAGTAAAAGTATATTTAAATCCAAATAAACAAATAAAAGAAAGGTGTCACTCCAATGTTTCTAAATTTTAAGTCTCTAGAAAATATTGAGATGAAAAAAGTGAAAAGAGAAAAAAATAGTATTTTAACTATATTTTACGTAATAAATGTTTTTTTTATACTTTTTAAAAGTAATAATTAATATTTTTAATATATAAGTTATCTTATAATTAAAATTCTTATAATAATATTTTTATATATTATAATCAATAATTTAAATTTTAGTATAAATTATTTGTATTTATTGATCATTTAAATAAAATATTATGTTTGTTTTGTAAATAGTAATAAAAAGATGGATAAAAATTTAAAAAGGAGTGGATATTTTTAAAAATAGTAATTTGAAATGTTTGAGAGATATTTTTAGAAAAATACACATTTGAAAGAGTTAAGAGTGTGGATATTGAGAATTTCTATTCTTGTTTGAGATAAATGAAATACAACTTTACTCCCAAAATTACATACTATAATTTATAATATAAATGAAGATATGATATGTTGCACTTATAAAGCCAACTTATGTTTCTATTTTTATAAATCATTATAATTGAACTAATAGTGAAAAATGAAAAATTACATATAAAATTTTAAGTTAATTTGAAATTTATTATCGTTACTATAATTTTTATAGATATAAAAAAAATATTCATCTTTTATAGCATAACTCAATTTATCATGAGTATTAAACCAAACTATATCCATGTATTTTGGGTCTTGATTTTTCCATCATTTTTTCCACTTCCTCCTTGCCATTTTTTTAAAAAAAAAAATTATTCTAACTGTTTTCATACATTTATCCCACCTCTTTTTTCTCACAAGAGACTCCATTTTCTCTACATGTTCTTTTATTGTGCTTTTTCATTCTTTTTTCTTTCTTTCTTTATTTTCTCATCACTTTGATAGAAACTAGCTTTCGTTATGAATGACTAAACAATGAAAAATAGTTTCTTTTGTTTTTACAAAATAACAATAATACAATAAAATCTTATTTTTATTGTGTTAATTTTTTTAAAAAATATCAAGAAGTGTAAATGATCTTTCGGGACTCCACCAAATTTTGTATCACAATGTTGATAATGTTGTAAATGAGTTATGAAACATCTCAATAAGAAGTCTAATCCACATGTTATCATAATAAATTTTAAAAAATAAATTCATTAAGATTTTAGTTGTTGCAAGTTGTTAATCAGACAAATCTTGAAATTTAATAAAAAAATAATGTTAAAAAAAGAAAAAAATTAAATGAAAAGAAAAACTTGAAAAAGAGAAATAATAATAATAAAAGAAAAAAATGTGAAAATATCTTGACCAATGATTTAAAAAAAATGTAATGGTGTAATTTATGTTTTCCACGATGAGAGACATTAAAAGCTCTCCAACCATAGCCTTCACTACCTCAAGTACCATAGGAACTTGTTGAGCCAGATCACGCCTTTGAGCCAAAGTTGTGATTCATTACCTTGCAATACCATTGCCTTTGGCATGTGTCACACCTTCATACTCACAATTTAAAACTTGCATAAACACAATGATATCTGCATACTAATATTTGCAAAATATTCACACAATTCTTGAAACTAGCTTTCAGAATTATACATATGCATTCAGGAAACTTTTTTTTTTTATTCACAGAAAAATCAAACTCAATACTAAAAAGATTTATAAAATTCACACATCTTACTTGATCAATTTAATAATATCTCCCTAATATTCATATAACTAGTTTATGAAACTGTTATTATTCCTTATGTTCCAAAAACTAATTCTTATAATTGTGATAGCCAGGCATTTCGAAAACATATTTTGGAATACAATTTCTTATGGTTCAGTAATTGAAAATAGATAATTATTACAATGTTTCATTTTTTCTTCGTATCTGCTTACCTTTTTATTATATGACAAATCATATTTATCACTCTCTCTCTCTTCACTGTGTCTCAATTCATCCCAAATAGAGTGTACGTTTAATGTTATTCTCTATCTCTTCTCGGTACGAAAGTTATTTTTGTCAAAATCACACGAAGGTTGATTTTTCCCGAATCATATCTTACATTTTTTTTAAATTTTCTAAATCAATATTTATTTTTAAAGAACTACCACTATTGATTTTCTTTTTCATGCAATTTGTGTGTATTTTGTTTCATTCAAAGTAGCATTACTCTGTTCCAAAACATATGGAATAAACATTGAAAATCAGACCATATGCATAGGATAAAAAACAATTATTTATCTCCTCAGTACAGCCATTTTAATAATATTAATAATATATTTTTTAGAAAAGAATATCATTATCGAGGTCTGTTTTATTTCCAATCAACCTCATCTGTTTGTGATCGGACGACCAAGAATCGTTTTTAAAGTGAGCCGTGTGAGTTGGCAACGTCATCCATTGAAGTGGCTCAACTCAACACAGGAAACACCAATCTTTCGGACTTTCATCTCACACCACAAACCTTTGCCATAATGTCTCACATCAAATAGTATATATCAAGCGACACAAAACAACACCACGTATATAAAAATGTGGAGGAATCTCACATGCACGAAATGAATAGCTGTCACAGTGGGGAAAGAAATTTGAATTGAGGGTCACATTATACACTTCTCAAAGTAACAAAACAACATATCCTTATGGATCCCCTGTTGTAAAGCATTGGGTGTGCTATTATACCACATAGAAGATAGAAGATCCTCCTCTATTAATATTATTCCTCTAATGAAAAATCACATCCTCCACTTCTTCAATAACACCCCTTTAGCTTTTTTTCCCTTCCCTTTTGGAACGGAAGTGGGTGTGAATGGACCTCTCTTTATGATATATATATATAAACCAGAATCTCTCTTCCTCATACGCCCCCACCTCTCCTCTTTTGTAATCCTCAAGCTTCCCTATCTCCACTGTGTCCTTTGAACCTTAATCGCTAAGGCAATATAGAGGGGGAAACACACCTACACGCACACACATAAACACACACCACCTTCACACGCTACTTTTTATAAACAATTTAAAGTACGTATTGCTGAATTCTCATTAGCTAAATGATTTTGGAATCATCAACAAATCTTGTACTCACGCGGAGAGTTTATTTCATTCTTGTCTACTTTAATCAGGATTCAGCTATCCTGTTTTTTTTGAAACGTGATACATATACTTGGTTTTCATATATTATTTGTCTCTTTTATTTCATATAGGGTTGTTACACACAATAGCAATATATAGGTCGACCTCAATTTTTTTTATTTAACAAAAAGTAAAAATATAGGCCTAAATTTACATGTTTAACAAGCAGCAAACTAATCCAACAATATAATAAATTAAAAAACTTATCTATATATATTGTGGAAATTGTCTCTTTTTTTTCATAGTAATATATGGTTAGAGAAAAACGTATAGGAAGAGATGGCGATCAATATTGAAAATATTTTCTTACAGGGGAGGGGATATAGCAAACATTGGATCCCTTGACACTGGAGTATAAATGATACTTGCTAGAGTAATCATTTACACCACATGCCTTATACTTGTTATTAGAATGTGTGGAAATTGCCCATAACTAATTCACAATAATCAATTCTTATGACAAAAGACTCTAATAATAAACGTAATCCTATAAAGTTGGTCATCAAACGCCTAATCTATGTACGACGAAGTTTGTTACATGTACTAGAAAAATATATGAAAGTGTAAGTCGTATATATTATATTTCCCATGAGGCATGAGCAAATTAATGGACATAAAGACACTTTATTTAGAACAAACATTATTTCTTTTAAAGTGGACATTATCGATAATAAAAAACAACAATAACAATAGAAGAAGAAAGTTACTACTAGATTTTTTAATGAAAATTTAATCTTGCTACAATTGAATAAAATCACCTCTTTATATAAATTATGTACCTACAAAGGGGTACACCAATGATCTTCTCGTAGTCTGAAGGCCGAACGAGTGCTCCAATCCGATGTGAATAGAGGGGTTGGTACTTGCAAAAGGCACTCCAACGCTCAAGTCAGGACAAGCACAGATATCTAGGATAATTAATGAACAGTGACGTTACCTTTTGACCTGAGCTATTTATACTGACATTTATGGGCCCTGGACCCCATGGGCCCTGCAACGTATTTACCGTATCAGGTAATACACCTTAATCATCTGATTAACCCCTAATCACGGGTTAAGAGCAATGAGTAATGATAGTTCGGTCCTGGTGGCCGATTGCCGTTCGGCCACCAAGTACTGCCATTCGGCGGCCGACCAGAGGTGGCCGAACGCCCCTACCCGTACA